TCAAACAACATGGATACAACTTTCAGGAATATAGCTTGGCACGTTGATCAACCATCGATCAAGTTGTCTTATTCTTTCTGCTAGTAGATTAGTAGGTCTGTGTAGCGATGGCAACGGTCCACCGGGGCCTGATGGTCCAAGAGAAATGGGCCAACCTGTTCCTTTCAGGGAAAAAGACAATGGAAGTCAGGACGTTCCACTGTCGTGTGGTGCAGCCACAGTCCGTCGTGTACCTCATTGCTTGTGGTCAAGGATGGGTGTTCACAGTTCTGTTAGTGATCCAACCTAAACTGTTTGCTGTTTTTGTCGATTTAGTCACACTGCTACACTGCTACACTTGTGTGTTGCTGTTGGAGCAGATTCCCCAAACAGGAAAAGCTGCTGATGGAAAGGCTTGTCTCAAGGTCGTGGGCAAACTGCGCTTTGAGGGCAACCAGCAAATCAGTGACAGTGACTTTTCGAAGTATCACACACAGCACCAGGTCTCACAGGCGGACTTCGCAAACTTCACAGGTACCTGGAAGAACTACAAGGGCTTTGTTGTTGGGTGGCAATTTTCTTTGGTGGAAGCCTTTGCTACTCCAATGTGGATACCACACAAGCAGGACAAACTTCCTTACTAGAGAAGCTAGAGAAGTGACTTACACATGTGCTGTGCATTTATCATGCGATTTTCTTTCCTATAACTATATACAGTTCATCATTCAAGCACAGTCTGACATAAGTGTTACAACCACACGCTTCACCAGCTTTCAATTGCAGGAACAAGGTGCATGGGTTTGCTTCGATCCTGCGACTGCCATCGAGGCCAAGGACAAGGATGCTTATTCTGTGGAGCTGATGAAGCAGCTGAAACCTGGATCTGTTGGCCAAGCAAACCAATCCGGTCGGAAGCTCACCAAGAACGATTCCGCTGCCTCATCAACTGGAATAGCCGCCGCTTTAGGGCAAGAGCTTGACAAAGGTGCTGATCAAACAAAGAGTTCCACAGAGAACAGGAATGCGCCGGGTCAACGCAGTATGGATGCCTTTGTCAGCGTCACCAAGGTTGAGCCTGGTAAGAACTCCTCAGTCACAGCAGAAGCCTGTGACAGCAGCGGCAGCCAGCCAGCTGTTGACGCTTCAATCATCACGGTGCAACCTGCCAGTGACTGTGAGGCTGCTGGCAACACTGCACCAACAGCATCAGTAGCAGAGGCAGCAAAGGTGGAGGAGAAGAACATAGACAAGGCCACAGGTGCCAGAGGGGCCAGAAGGGTACGGGTCTTCCCTGGGCCTTCATTGCCATTGGACTCCCACCCAGATAGAGTACGAGAATTTTTGGAGAAGTGGCAGATGAGATTTGGAGTGAGGGCTGGGGTGCGCTGCTTGCGTAAAACTACGAGGAATCTACGACATGTTGCAGTTGATCCTGAGGAAACCAATGCCCATGAAGAGAAGGTAGATCCTCCAACGGTGATTGCTCCCACGCTTGCTGACCCACCGTCACTTGTGGCTGTCACTCCTGATGA